TTCGACCTGTTTCGGTCGACCGATTCTCCTTTGGTTTCAATTGTTTAGCAAAAACTCCAACTTCAGTAGCCTTTTTCACTGAAGAGGCTCATTTCGGTTGACTGGTTCTCTACTTCGGTTTACCGAAGCACCATCTTTCATCTCAAGCCTCAAACCGGTCGACCGGTTTGTCACTTCGGTCGACCGAACTGAGAGCTCTTTCTTCTCTTTTCTCCAGGCTCATTTCGGCAGACCGATGCTCCATTTTGGTCGACCGAAATGGAGTTGCCTTGTGAGTTGGTTTGGTTTGTTGCCTAGACAGGTTAACCTTGTTTCATTCGTTCCTACTTAACCTCATTGATCTTGTACAAGCCATTTAATGGCGTACATGGTCTAGTTTGAACTAGACTTTGTTCCCTCAGTTGTCATTGGTGTTATAGGGTCTTATTTAACCTTTTTATCCTAGTTTCCACTTCCGGTTATTTCTTTGGGTTCCGTGACTTTATGGAATGTCACATTTGCGTCTGAGAGATGATCTATATCTCGTGAGACTTGGTTTATCTTTTGCTTCCGCACATACTTTCTTTGAGTTCTGTGACCTCATGGAAGGCCATCTTAGGGGTCTTAGAGGTGTGTTATGCCTTGGGAGACCGTTGTCTTGTTTCTTGCTTCCGCATCTGGATTCGTTATCGAGTCAATCTTCGGTTCATCACTGACCCACCGGGTTGAATCAAAACCCGGGTCGTTACAAAAATAATAACATACGTATATATATATATATATATATATATATATATATATATATATCAATATCTTTGCATGCACATAAAATTTGAAGATCTTGGGCATACATGTTTGAAATACAATATAATTGTACTAAAATATTTGATACTTTTACGCATATATAGTGTGTATATATGAGTGTACATGAAAACAGAGTATATATATACATATATATATATGTGTCATTTTCCATCTCAAACATGTATTGCATATAAATTTCATATTATACTATTAACAATATATTGTTAACAAATAAATTAAATTTATACATCAAAGTCCATGTTGGCTCTGATACCACATGTAAGAAAATTCAACAATATATAGAATACATGGTTCCAATGCATAAATCTAATAAAAGACATACCTGAATATAGAAACTCAGTTTGAAGAGAATTACATCGGAAACATTACTTATATCATATAGGAGACGACATTCAACCCTTTTATCTTTTCACTGTATACCGGATGATAGATTCCAGATTTCTACACATATATATAGATGAGGGTTGGGATCATTCCAATAGACGTTAAGAGGTGTGTTGGTTCCATCAACTAACACAACTCTTCATATGTGACTCTTCAACAAAGCATCACAACTCTTAAATATACAGGTGACTATTCATTCAAATATATGGATAACTAAATATTAATTAATTATTGTTAGACTATTAATTTTTTTGCTTACACTACTTCAATCCCCGGATCTCTTGATTGAGATTGTTTGGATGTTTTTCAGATGGAAAAACCTCCAATTCACTACTCTTTGGTGACAACCATTATAATAGATCCAAAGTGGTTTCAAGCTACATCCAATGGGTATAGAAAAGGTTTTCGTGTTCCTATTCTTTTCATTTAATTGTCTAAGAGTTTGACTAGGACTACATCTACCTAGCCTAAAACTCATCCATAAGGAAGGAAGCTAAAATTGACTTAACACTATATTTCATTGAATTGGAACCAAGCCATGAGTTCGGTCACATTAGGAAGAATCTGAAACTCAAAGATGAAATTACGATGATAATAGGTAGTGCTCATCTCTGTTGCAATGTCTGGGTTGGTAGGTGGGTGTAGGGTAAAATGGTCATTTAGGTAATTTGATATTTTGGAATAAAAAAGATTAAAAAATTTGGGGTAAAGTTGTCTTTTCTCATGTATTTAATAGAATATTTAACGAAAAGTTAGAAATGGACCTACGTGATAGTTATTTTCAAAAGATATTTGAAGGTGAAAAATAGCCAAACCTGAGAGGGTGTGAGTGAAATTAACCCTAATTTAAAATAGTTTAGAGTGGTAGTATAGTTTCAAGAACACCGTGTGCAAAGTGGCGGCACAACTGACGGTAAAACCAACCACATTTCCGACTAAGAAACTTCTTTGATGACCTTGACATCATTGTTGAATGATGATTGATCTTATTGCCGAATTCGCACGCCATTTCACTGTCACCGGTTCTTCACCAATCGCGTTCACACGTGTTCACACACACCGGAGTCACCGTTGTGTGTGACTCCAGTGCATTAAAACAGGGCAACAAGTCTCATGATCCGATGCATTAAACAAGTAGATTCAAACCCGACTCGAGAACTCGGGTAACAAATGTAGAAGCTAAGGTCAAAACAATCATAATGCGGATACGACTCAAACACAATACGAGATAAAACGGGTTTGGGTTTACATTAAATTAGCATGGATCATAAATAAGTCGACATAATTAATCCGTTCAATTAATTGTCTTGTGTTAGAATTGGGGAGTTCAACACGTGTAACCCGTTTATACCCATTTAACTAAAAGTTTATAATTGTGTTAATATCACTTGTGCAACTCATTACTTGTTTAGACCCAATTGCTATGGACAACTAGACCATTTCAACATAAATCCTAACAAAAATATACATTAGATCATGTATAATTTTCATAATATTTATTGTTTGATTAAGTATTATAAATATTCAAATAATGTAATATCTAATTTTGGTAACTTAGTGATTAAACACAAGTTAACACGTCTAATATGTTTAATAAATAAGTCAAGTTAGTATTGAGAGTTTTTGACACGATTATTAAATGGATTATGTTAGGGTTGATATTTTCGTTAGACTAGTAGTCTTAAGTTGACACAACATGATTATGACCTGCGAACATGAATTGAAATCCTAAATTGAGGGTTCAAATCTCACAGCGACATGTAGGTGTTTGAGTTGATTTCTTACCAATAAAAAAGAAAAATCCTCTCTAAATTGTTTTTTAATATTTTAAATAGGGTAAATAATAATAATAATAATAATAATAAAAACACCCTTCGCTTTTCATGTAGTGTATATGACCGACCCCCTTCCACTTTGAAATATGCTGCACATAACCATACTTAATAATAATAATAATAATAAAAATAAAAACACCCTTCGCTTTTCATGTAGTGTATATGACCGACCCCCATCCACTTTGAAATAAGTTGCACATAACCATACTTCGTCCGATGGCTGTTAGATATGTTTTTTGCCGTTAATTAAGTGAGCACGTGCAATTCACGCGACCAACAGATAATAACTACTACATAATTTTTAGAATACCCGGTCACTATATGCATGTATACAAAGGTAAAGTGCTTAAAAACACCTCTCGATTTTGTACGTAGTGCATATATATAATAACACCCCCTTCAACTTTCATATTTTTTCTTTCTTTCTATTTTATTTATTTATTGGATGTCTAACTTTAAACAGTAAATATAACTAAGCTAAAAAGAATCCAAGTAGTGATTCATTACAAAACAATAAAAGGTTTCCATCACATAAAAGTGTGCATTACAAAAACTGGAAAAAAAAAGTATAAGCAAATTCAGGGGTTTATATGCACTATATATGTTGGATACAACATGCACTATATTTACATGTATAATTGAGGGGTATTTTTCACTCGAATTAAATAAGGGCATTTGGGTCAATTTAATCATCTGCTAATGGCAGAGTAACCGCATGGCCTCATTTGCATTGTTCCATACTATGGGGGTGGTGTTCAAACTAAAAGGGGGTGATATGCACCGTATTAAATATAGAGAATATTTTTTACACTTATCCTTTTATATAAAATAATTAAGAAATTTGGTAAAATTATTTTTAAATGGCACTACTGGACATTTTCACCTTAAGGTTTGGTCACATGTTGCAAATTTATGATGGCAACAGAACAATTTTCTTGACTTGGTCACTATCTTCTACTTTTCCTTTTAAAAAAGAAAATAAAATAAGATTTTGAGACTAATGTGCCATTTTAATCCATAAGAAAAAGAAGGAAAACAAATTATAGAAAAATTTACTCCAAATTTTGACTATCCAACGTGGGCTCCTCAGTCCTCACCCTTTTAATGGTAACTACTACAAAGGAATATATTATATGTACGCGCTAAGAGCTACAAAATATGTAAAAACCAAAATATAGAAGATAGATAGATCAAAAAAATAAAAAATAAAAAATAAAAAAAAATAAAAAATCGATATAAAAGATAGATATATAAACACACAAATGTATAGAAGATAGATAGAGAAAAAAAAAAAAAAAAAAACCAATACTAATAATGAAGAAAGCAAAAAAATAAAAAATAAAAAATCGATATAAAAGATAGATATATAAACACACAAATATATAGAAGATAGATAGAGAAAAAAAAAAAACCAATATTAATAATGAAGAAAGCAAAAAAATAAAAAATAAAAAATAAAAAATCGATATAAAAGATAGATATATATAAACACACAAATATACGTTAAAAAAAAAAAAAAAAAAAAAACCCGCACAAACATCAATAGAAAATATTTTTAAATGTATATATAAAAGGAACGTTTGGTGGATTAATCCTATCCTTCTATTTTCTATGCATGTTACTTGGAAAGTCCAAAATATATACAAATATATATATACTTACCGGGAAAGAAAAAAAAAGTCCAGTATATATGTCCAGTATTTTAACTTCTCTTAAAATCTCATTTCAGAAAGGAAATATATATATATGCAAATTAGGAAAGAAGTTCAATAAAAATCAGCATTTTAAGTTATCTTCAAATCTCATTTCAAAAAGGAAATATATATGCAAGGAAGATTAAAAAAAAAAAAGTCAAAAATTAACCCAAATCATTGGAGTATTACAAAAGAAAGAAGTATCTTCTTTGATTACATTTCCCATTTTCAACCCTAAAATCACGCGTGTGCATGTGTGTATAAATAACACACACCCGCGCAAATGCAAATCCGAAGATCAAAGAAAAACCTAATGGCTTCTTTGTTAACTTATGCCACTGTCTGCTTGCTACTGTTCATTGTGGTAGGCTCAACTCATGCGCACCTTGGTCTACCACCCAAGGTTTTTGATGTGACCACCTATGGTGCTGTGGCAGATGGAAAAACTGACAATGCTAAGGTAATATATATATTTTTTATTCCAAAGCAAAAACACACACTCACAACATGCCTCTCCTACCATTAGGGGTCCGGTGGTATTCCATGTATATATATTGACACACACACACACATATATATATATTGTAGGCATTTTTGACAGCTTGGACGGATGCATGTCAATGGAAGGGAAGGAGTAGGGTTTTGATCCCATCAAAAGGGACGTACGTGTTGAGTTCTATGACTTTTAAGGGTCCATGCAAGGGTCCGATATCAGTGTTGATCAAAGGGGTGCTTAAGGCTCCATCTGATCCATCCTATGGTGACCATTGGATCACCTTTCAGTACATTGATCGATTGGTGGTCAAAGGTGGTGGTACTTTAGATGCACAAGGAACGTATGCTTGGTCTCACAATGATTGCTCCAAGAATTCGCAGTGCAAGGCTCTTCCTGTTGTAAGTTCTCTCTCACCATTTGTGTGTGCAGGTGACGAGCCAGTGTGTGCTAGGGGGCACACAAGCCCCCTCACCTGGCCTCGCCCAATGTTATAAATAATTATGTTTTATTTTATTTTTTGTAAGTATATGAAAATTTCTATAAAATGCGCCCCCCCTCCATAAAAATTTTAAATTCTAAAAATATCTATTGAATTTGTTTATTTTTTTTCATTTGAATTTTTTATTTTTATTTTTATTTTTATTTCTTTTCATTTTTACTTTTCAAATTTCTTTGCTTTCCTTAAAAAGAAGATAATTTTTCCAATTATAGGATTCATTGATTTAGCATATTGTTTATTTTATTTTATTTTATTTTAATTTTTATTTTTTTCACACTCACCCACCTAAATTCAAATTCCGCTCCTGTGTGTGTGGTGTGTGTGAATATGTGTGTATGTTTGTGATTGATTTTATTTTTATTTTTATTTCCCCTAAGGACCAGCCCTCTCTTATATTCTATATATATTTTATAATAATATATATTCATTTTTTTAATGAAAATATGAAAAGTGTCCCCTGAATTTTCTCATTCTTCATAAAATTCTATATATGTTTCATATCTATCAATTAATTTAATTCCAAAAATATCACTATCTCTTTCTATATATATATATATATGTATATATATATAGGTATATATATATATATATATATATATATATATATATATACTTATATGCATATACATTATATATTCTGGCTCAAATACTTAAACTTTTTTAGAACAGGTCCGGGGTCACTGCCTGTGTGTGTGAATATGTGTGTTGTATGTTTGTGAAGTGTTAGAAAATAGATGAAATATAATAATTTGTATTATCTTTCCACCTTATTCTTTTTATCAAAAACTAAATGAATTGCTTTGTAAGGACAATTAAATCCTTTGTGTTTTTTACACTATTTCTTTGATAATTGTTCAATCTTTTTGAAGAGTAAATTTTTTTATTTATTAAACCACTGTTTAAATTTAATTCCATAACTCATATGTTGCTGATACAACTTTTTTTCTTTCCTTTTTTTGTCTTGTGATGCTCTAATATTCCATCAGTCAATGGCGTTTGATTATATCAGCAATTCAAGGGTACAATATTTGAAATCAATCGACAGCAAAAGCGTCCATTTCGATCTTTTTGAATGTAGTTACATGAACATCAGTAACATTAGGTTAACAGCCCCGGATGAGAGCCCCAACACCGACGGTATCCGAATTGGAAACTCAAACAACATCAAGATCTCCAATAGTGTCATAGGCACCGGTGACGACTGCATTGCCATGATCTCAGGCAGCAAAGATATCGACGTCTCCGGCGTTACCTGTGGCCCCGGTCATGGTATTAGCATTGGGAGCCTCGGGAAGTTTCAGACTGACAATAAAGTCAGCGGAATTACAGTAAGAAATGTCACTTTTACCGGTACCCAAAATGGCGTGAGGATCAAAACATGGGCACCCTCTAATCAAGGCTTTGCGGAGGATTTTACTTTCGAAAATTTGGTGATGAATAATGTCTACAATCCAATCATCATTGATCAGCACTACTGTCCACGGGCTAATTGTGATACCAAGGTATGTGCTGCATAAACCCCTTCAATTGTTTTTACGTAAAATGTTTTACATCATTTGTGTATATATATATATAGATGTATATATATAATGTTTATATCCACCATCATTTTTGAAAATGAATTTTCAATTGTACATAATTTGCTTTGAAACAAATGGAGCGTACGTAGTTTGAAAGCTTTTATATATGTTACATTTTATATAATATAAAATGTTTACAGAACATAAGCCAAACATGTATAAACAACAAGAAGGAAAATGAGTTTTCAATTGTACATATATTACTTTCCAATGCATGTAAAACATTTTACTTTGAAACAAACATGATGGTAACTCATCTTCTTGTGGTTTAGGCTCATTCTTCGGTTCAAATCCACAATGTGATGTTCAACAACATCCGGGGTGTTTCGAGTTCTAAAGTTGCAGTTGCTCTCAATTGTAGCAGCTCTCATCCTTGTGAGGGCATAAAGCTTGTGGACATCAACTTGACCTACAATGGCCGCGAAGGCGCACCGTCCATGGCACTGTGTTCGAATGTTCACGGTGAATCCTCAGGCGAACAGAATCCTCCCAGTTGTATATAGTCCTCTAGCTAACATGGAATTCCTTGAGGCGTAATTAGGAGGATTAATTTGATTTGTTGTAACCTTCTAAACTAGCTACTAATAAGAATTTTAGGAAGAATTGTTGAGGGAGAAGGTATTGCCCCTTTTGATTTAGAGATGTGTTATCCATCATTGGATAAAGTATATTTCCGAATTATGATCGATCTTACTCCATTTTTCTCAAGTTTGAGGGTTGAATTAAATTTATATTTCTTGTTAATTAATGTTTTCATAATTAAAGTGTTAGTCAAAATATCAATTATTTGAATTTAATTAATGTTTTCATAATTAAAGTGTTAGTCAAAATATCAATTATTTGAATTTTGGATGGTGGGAATGATCCATCATTGGATAAAGTATATTTCCGAATTATGATAGATCTTACTCCATTTTTCTCAAGTTTGAGGGTTGAATTAAATTTATATTTCTTGTTAATTAATGTTTTCATAATTAAAGTGTTAGTCAAAATATCAATTATTTGAATTTTGGATGGTGGGAATGAGGACATATTAATATCCTTATACATGGGTGGCTTAATATAATTTGAGGCCTTAAACTAAAATATAAAAATGGCCTTTTAATATCTAATATATATAGTCAATCCAATTAATCTTTCTTGTCACATAATTGATCTTAGAGTATATAACTTATAACTTAATGAAAAATGAGAAAGAAAAGTGAAAAAAGAAAGTGAATGACGAGCTTTCCCACATACTTTTACAATAAGAATAATAACAAAAATCAATCCCCAATGCTATGAAATTTGTGAACTAGCTGCTGTTTGGTGTATTTTGTTCCTTGCCTTGGGATCTTGCATAGACTCTTCATTTGAGTAAAGATTATAAAAAACAGAATATTCCTTCCCTTAGGAGCGGGATGAGTGATACATCTGGCGAGACGGTGAAGAACGCAAGCAAAGCTGGAGCTCGGGTATTGTTCTAGAGGGGGTTAGGTGTGCCGCAAGCAACCTCTTTTTCTAGGTTAGGTTTGTCCAGGGAAACTGAATCAGAATTCACATTTTTAGAGTCATTCTCGTATCATATTAATCAAATAAGATTGATCCCAACCTTTGCTCTTAGACTTGGCTTTATGCCTCTTATTCGAAGTATTGGTCCGGACTTATAGCAAAAATAAGCACACAAAACCATTTCAGAAGGCGAGGGAAGAATATAGTACAATCTTAGGTAAGAGAGGGGGAAATCGCTACATCCGCTTCATTCGCTATTCAACATCAGGTCACAAAACAAGAATCTACTCCGAGTGCAAAGAGGAAACAAGTGATGCAGGTAAGGGCCTCATATCCCCAATCGGTAAAGGTAAGGCGCATACAGACTCGCCACGAAGCTTGGCAACGAATTGACCGGCCTTAGCATCAGAAGTTCCTGCCAACAACGAGATAAGAGCCAGTGCAGTGAGGGATCTTTATCGGTAGAAATGGTCAATTTCACTGCTTTTCCTGCTATATGAGATCGAACTTTTGAAAAAACTAGAACAAGTCTCCGAGCGAAAACCCCGTTCTGTTCGAAACAAATGAGTAATAAGAATACTAAGAAGCTTTCTAAAGGGCTACTATCTCTTACAATATGAGTTTTCTTTCCTTCCTAGCCTTTAATGAAAAAGACAGAAAATCAGTTAGTACTTCGCGCCACAACCATCTCTTTTTGATAGGTTCTACGGACCGATGCCCGCTGCTTCATCTGTAAGAAAAGAATCATAGATATGCCGGTCATTAGAAGGAAGAACCGCCATAAAAAGAGTCATCGTGTATCATCTGTAGCAAAACTATGAACGGGAGCTAGCAATCCGGACCGTATTGAAGAGGTTCCTGAGACACAGCATGGAAGAGTCACAATGTTCAGATTGGGTATTGTTCTAGAGGGGGAGAGGGGGTTAGAGAGAGACTCTAGTGTGGTTGAGCAGCTATCCAACGCTATGGAGGTGTCATGTGGTCAAAGGCTCCAAGGCCCCTTGCAGCTCCTCAGGTCAGGAGTTATGATCTAATAATACAAATAAAAATTTTAAAGAGGTTATAATATAAGGAAATAAAAATTTTATAATAAGAAGGAAATAACATTTATATGAAATAATGAAAATAAAAATAAATATTTGAGACCATACTATTAGTTCGGCCTTAGGCACCTAAGGTCCAGCCGCCCCTGCTTGAATATCAATAATATAATATCCTCTAAAAAATAAGGGGTGCTCATTGGATGATAGTAGTAATAATAGGTATTCTTGCAGAGTTAGCTAACAACTATATATTTTACATGCTTAAATGCAAGTTTATGAAACAATATTGGAAAGAAATATATGCATTATTTTTTCCCTTCGGTATATTATAGTCTTTCTAAAAATTTTATCTCCTTTCTATAGAGAAATTTAATAATGGTCAAAAGATACTTATCTCAATTACAGAAAGATTCTATAATTTTTATCTTCCTAAATTTTTATTTGAAATTTAATAGTGGGTCTAAAAGATTTCTATATTTATTGATATATATATATATATATATATATATATATATATATATTTTTTTTTTCCTCTCTCCCCGTCATCCATGTTTTTTATATATATAATCATTTACATTGTTTGTTTTATTAATGGGCTTTGCTAACCACGACACATGTCCTATTAGTGTAGGAATTAGTTCTCATTTGTGACTTGTCTAGGAATCAGTTACACTTGTATAGGTGTAGAAACCTACTACTTCAAGTCACGTGGCCACGTGTTTGTTTACCTATGCTTAATTGTTTTTTTTTTTTTTGGGTTGTATTGTATTGTTTGATTTTTGGGTCATATTTTACCGTTAAATAAAATCTATTCCATTTAAATTTACACTCCAATTTTTATCAATCCTAAAATTTCTATTCCAATTGCAAACTTTACATAAATATAATAACACCACCGATACAACAAATCTGATTATTTACTCTAATTTTTTTTTTTTTTTTTTCTGAATGTGAAATTTTTTATATTTATTTAAATATAATATTTTTTACTATTATGTTCATTTTTTATATAATATTTTTTACTTTAAAAAAATATAAAAAATTTCACATTCAAGAAAAAAAATAGTGGTGGCGTTATTATATTTTTGTAAAGTTTGTAATTGGAACAAAAATTTTAGAATTGATAAAAATTGAAGGGTAAATTAAAATTGTATAAATTTTAACTAACAGTAAAATATGACCCAAAATCAAACAATACAATACAACCCATCAGAAAAAAAAAAAAAAAAAAACTAACAACAATTAAACCAAGAGGATAGGTAAACAAACACGTGGCTAATAAATCATGTGACTTGTCAGTTGGATAAAGTAAAATAAAAGAATAATCAATCCATCTAAAAGAATTAAAAGATGCCCACTAACTGGACTTAGACCTGGGCGTGTACCAAAAACAAGAACTGAAATTCTCCTTGGTAATGGCGGTGGTTCGCTGATATAGAGGTCATAGTTCGTCTGCTGCTGGTGGTGGTGAAAATGTTAATTGGTGAAAGAGTAGAAAGGATTGGTATGTGATGATGGCTTATAAAAGGAGCTTGGTAGGTTCCATGTGCTTGCAATTTCCTTCACCTGTGGACATGCACATCTCCCAATTGAGAAAAGTGTCACACGAACTGAATTTATTGCGCCGGAGGAACTATTAGAAAATATATGCTTCAAATTACATTTAAGGTATAACTAACCTTATATTAATATACTATTGAGATAATTAATAATATGTTAAAAAATAATTAATTAAATATACAATTCGATATTTAATTAAATATGCAAATTAAAATAATAAAATAATATTAATCAATAAAGAACCTTGACCGAGTTGTATTAATTAGATACCATGTCCTCAAGACAATTTATACCCCGTATTGTGCTGACGGACTATATGACACTTGTCTCTCAGGATACAATGGTCTATATCTACTAGTATTAGTATTACAAACTCGTGAATACGGTGAATTTCCTCTGTGCAATATTCTCTCTGACTCAAAAATGCATCTATACTATATAAATGCTGAATTGGATGCAATTCAAACTAAATGGTTCGGACCAATTTTAATATGGCTCGGTGAAATTGGATTAGGGTCTAAGTGGCTCGGACCACTTGACATATGGTTTGAACCCATGTCCTAGAGAGGGAGAGAGAAGAAAATAAAATTGAACAATTGAATTATGTAGCCAATGTTGGTATTTATAGACAAACTAGATGAATAGACATGTTTTATCCATCACACATTTCCATTATCAGTCTAACAACGTGACTGCTAGTCATACTAGACGTCTGTTCAGTCTATAACTACTACACCTCTTGGTTTATACGGTTATACTGATGTACACACATTTTTTATACATCAATGGATGTGAATCATATACAGGTATCTGCAACAACATACCACCTTTCACACTAGGATATTTACGTTGTCACGGATGACATTCACATTGTTACATAGACATGTCTTTAGAGAAGACGCGATATGGTAGTGGTTGTATTTTCTAACAAACACTACGTTAAAGGATGCTTTTCACGTATTCTAATCAGACAAATTTCATTCACAAATTCTAACAATCCCCCACATGAATGGAAATTGACTGCTTAAATGCAAAAGATGATTATGCAGACACTATAGAGAGTGTAGTTAGGATAGGTAGCTTTTGGCTTAGAACCTTCCCTAATGTATTGATATCAGATTTACTGGCTAACTAGTAAACGTGATGTCTTGAACTGTTCAGCTGTTTGTGTAACCAATACAATAACAAACACACAGTACCCTTCCTCATAGAGTTGGTTCTCATTGTGGTGTTCATTTTGGCCCTGAACAACTCCTGGCATTCATGAGTGCTCTAGAAAACTTAGCCTTTTTAGTTCTCATAGAGACGACCCCACTTCAAACTTATATAGCTGACTTCTTATTAAGAATATCCTACCATGTCCCACTTGAAATTTCAAGGTATAAGAGTCATTAAAAGTGTAGCTTATC